TTTCTCATGTGCAAAAGGAGGTTATAAAAGGATGTCTGTGAGTGCGCTCTGAACTACAAAATAAATGTAGATTATTAACAACTATGTGGCATCCTACAGTTAGGATACTGAGGGCTAGTGGGTGGGGTAGGGCGGCTGAGCCCTGCCTGAACTTATCGTAGGGAAATACCGTTCGTCATCGGCCTTGCACAGGCAACAAAGAGCCTCCCAGAGTGCTCTGAAGGGGCCAGGACCAGTGGATGCCAGCAATCCACAACCACTGCCCACTGAAGTGAAATTCAGCTCAAGAGCCACACTGAAAAGAGCAGGCCAGGCTACGAGGAAGTATGCATTTTGTGCCAAAGCTCCCAGCGGTTAATAATGAAGGATTAACCCTTTAAGGACTTTTCATGCTGTCTCAGCAATCATGACAAGGTAGGTAATGGAAAGTGCCTAAAACAAATAATTCAGATAACTCAGTGAACACCAAACTTAGTAAAGTCAGACTTCTAAAGCTGATTACAGAACGACAGAAACACAGAAAAGAGCCGCAAGGGTCATTAATCCAACCTTCCACCTGATGTTTAAATCTCCTTTACAACCAACCCTTCTCTCAGGCGTTATCTGGACTCTCTCCAACCCCGGGTAGCTGGGGGAGTACAGTGCCTCCTAGGTCAGGCCACGCTGACCAGCAAGAATCCATGACTCTGGTCCTAATTCTTCTTGTTGAGCTGGAACTGGCCTCTTTGTTGCTTCCACCCTTAACTCTGGTTAAAAAAATCCTGGGGACGAGAGAGAAGTCCACGCTCTCTTCGACCTGACAGCTCCTCCCGAAGAGTCAGGGACCAGGCCCTCACCCCACGTTTATTCTTCCATTCTTCACCGCGCACTCAAGGACTGGGCTTTTTCCTCCCTGGTTAACAGCACTAGATGAAAAGAATGGGGATTTTACCCAGGTCAGAGCGAGCCCCTTGAACGGAGAAACGGGAAAGGACCCAAGGGCGCAGCCGCACTTCTCCTGTATTCAAATCCTGACCGACACCGACGTCGCCGCACGAGGAATAAAACCGTCGTTTCCGGCCGAGAAGCGCGCGCCCGCCGCCGCCTCGCGCGCCCGGGACGAGCCTGGGGATGGAGCCTCCCCCCTCTTCCTCCAAAGGCTGAGTCCAGCGTCCCGCAGCCCGGGATCAAAACCCGCACCCGGCTTGCTGGGGACGGGCCCACCTGCCCACTCGCAGGTCTCCAACGCCGGGCGGGCCCCGCCGCGCGACCCCGGGCCCCGACCCCATTCCTCGCATTAGTCGGGAGCGGGCGTGACGGACTCACAAGGACTCCAGGTGCTTGAGCTGCTGCAGCTGCTGCGCGTTGTGCCGCCGCCGCCTCTGCTCCCGGCGTCGCTGCAGCTCCTGCTCCGGAGGCTCCCGCGGCCGCCGCGCGCCCGCGGTCCCCGAGTCGTCGCGCCCGAGCTGGGACGACATTGCGGGCCCACGCCGAGCCGCGAAGACCGCACTTCCTTCGCGCCGCGCCGCGCCCGCCCGGCCCCGCAGCGCCCCCTCTCGCCGCCGCTCCGCGGCCTGCCGGGCCGGGCCCAACGTCCCGGCTGAGGCCGTTAGTGCCCCGCCTCCCGACAGGCCGGCCCGACTGCCTCCGCAAGTCATTGCTCTGAGACCCCGAACCTTGCTGCGGAGTCAGCGGGTCCGCCTCTGCTCCCGGCGGCGCTGCAGCTCTTGCTCCGGAGGCTCCCGCGGCCGCCGCGCGGCCCCTGTCCCCGCGTCGTCGCGCCCGGATCGGGACGACATCGCGGCCCCGCGCGGCGCGGCTGAGGCGGCCCCGTGCGGCGCAGCTGAGGCGACCGGCGCGGCGAAGACGGTACTTCCTCTGCGCTGCGCACGCCTAGCCCCGCAGCGCCCCCTCCCGCTGCCGCTCCGCGTCCCGCCGGGCCGAGCCGGGTGTCCCCTCCGCGGCCGCCTGCACCGCGCCGGCCAAAGGCCAGCGCGGCCTCAAGTTGATCGGAGCGCCGGGTCCTGCAGTCAGGTCGGCTGGTGCCGGAGGCCGGAGCGCGCCCCCTGGCGGCGGCCAGGAGTCTCGGTGCTGAGGACGCTCTGTCAGGACCCTGAGCCAGTTCTGCGCGTGGCTGGGCCCCTCTCCGGGTCGGGCGCCTCCCCTCGAGATCTTCGTCCCTGGAGGCCGGGAAACCTGTGCAAGTAATTTTCGTATTCCCCCAGTGGCTAGGCATACAGGAGCTGCTCGTTACATGTTAGTAGGATTCATCCAGTTTTGGAAGAAAGCAAGGCTTCCACAGAAATTCTCCAATTTTCCAGAACATGTGATCCATGCTATGTATAGTCACTGCAGTATACTGTATTCAGATAAGGTTTGGGTTATGGAAAAGAAAAGCTAATATACACTGTGCACGTTTTATGCGGTCATTGAGCTAAGCCCTTAATAGGAGTTGATTTAATTTTTAAAATCGTAATAAGTGCTGTACGTAATACCCATGTGTATTATCCTTATTTTACAGATAATGAGGCCCAGAGAGTTAACTGACATGCCCAAGGAAACAGAACTTGTAGGTCATGGAGCCAGGATGCAAAAGTGTAAGGTGCTTAACTAGGTTGTGCTTTGAAACTGTATCTGATATATAATTTTTTCAGCCTTGAAATAATGGAAGAAGCTGCAGAGGAATTAAAAATAACTGCATAAGGGAAATGCTTGCCAAAATATTCAGTTGTTAATAACCCAAAGTGAAGAGCTCTTTCAAATTTATTCAAGAAAACACAAACACAGAAGCTATGCACAGACATGTGAAATTATGCTAATATATGTTCTGGAACTTGGAAATGACCTCTTCCTCTAAGAATGAAGCCAATTAAAATTGTTGCATGAATGTATGATTCAGCCATTCATGTGTAACAGATCAGGACCCTGTGGGGGCCTTCCGGGATAGACCCCTCCCCCCATATACTCTGCTATAGCTCCTGTTGGAAGTACCCAGATAATAGAATCTCATGCATATTTCCTGAGTTTTTCATTTGGTAAAAACCACAAGTGGAAGAAATTAACTACTTGATGATAATGAGCCCCAGCCCTCAGACCTTCTGGCACCTAAGGATTGATAATGTTAAATTAACCACCCAGTTACCTCAACATCAACCAATCAGAGAGTTGTGCAGTAGCTGATCACATACCCTGGGACGCCCCTCCCTCACCTTGCCTTTAAAAATGCTTTGGTGAAACCCTTCAGAGAGTTCAGTGTTTGTTTTTTTTTTTTGAGCATGAGCAACCAGTTCTCCTGGCATGGCCCTGCGATAAAACTTTCTCTGCTCCAAGCTCCAACATTTGCGTTTGTCTGGCCTCACTGTGTGTCGGGCACACAAACTTGCGCTCGATAACGATGGAAGTTACCTGGGCCAATAAATGACCTGTATGATATAAGACATCCAAATCCAGTCAAGAAGGAGGATATAGTCTTTGGAAGCTGTGATTTACAAACAAAGAAAATGTAATTGTGTTGCAGAAAGAAGTTGGTCTACAGAATCACGAAGAAAACCAAGGGAAAGCAATCAGGTAGTGTTTTTCCAGCGCTGTTGTTATACAACAGCACGTTCCGGGTGTCCCACGCACAGTACATATTCCTTCCTCTTCAAGGTAACAATGTACTGGGCCAGCAGCACCCCAGCCACCAGGGCGCACACGCTGGCACTTGCTACCGCGCTCACCCTCGCCATGGCCGCTTGGTCCATGGACGGGGCCTCCTGCGCCTCCGGGTCAAGAGACGAGGTCGGTAGGTGGCTCGGGCCTCGGATGCTCCGCCCCAGTGACCAACCCAGACGCCCCGCCCTGCGCCGCCCTAGCCCCGCCTCCTAGGAAAGCCTCACCCACGAGCGGCGGGAACGGAGAAAGGAGTGGGAGGGGCGTGGCTTGCGTCCCCGCCGGGGGCGGGAGGTGGGTCTTCCTCAGAACCCGCGTCTAAGGAGCTGTACAAGAATAGAAAAGGGGGGTCGAATTAATTCTCTCTCTCTCTGCTAATGAGGACCAGGCAGTAGTTCATTCTAGCTCCGCCCAGTAGAAATCTGATTCCAAACATCACTCAGAAAAAAATCCTCCGCCTTCCTCTCTCCTGACACTCAGGACTACAACCCCCAGAAGGCATCGGGGCTCAGCTATCTGACTTGCGCAGTACCGTTCGTTGTAAAGTGCTATGACAACAGGGCGGAGACGGCTTGGAGTTAGGCTTGGGTGGGTAGGTGTCCCTTCCGCCGCTGCTGTCCTTTTTCTGCTACATCCCACTCACTGCCTCCTTCATCATTTCCTCCTCTTTGTGAGCAGCAGGTCTTACCGCTGTTCTTTCCTGCCTGATATCTGCCACGGGATTGATGCCGTTTTTCCTGCTTGTCTCTGAGGGTGACAGAGAGGGGATGCAGGGGAGCTACTTGGTGGGATCGCTCCAGCTCTGTGGAGCTGGTGGTGCCAGCTGGTGAGGCGCTGTCTTTGCCTGGGACGTGAAACAAGTTGGATCAGGAGAACGAGAGGGAGAAGTAAGGGTTGCTTTTACCTGCACCGTCCGTTCTTGCTCGTCGTTCCAGCCCTGGAATCCTGGCAGACGTTCTTAAAGGGAAATCGGTGGAAGGAGAGTTCGAAGAAAGGTGGGGCAGGACCCACCTGACTCGGCATCAGGTAAGAAAGTATGTCTAGAATTAAACATCGGGTGCATGAATGCCCTTTCTGTGTTTTATTTTTTAGTCAGATTGATTCTCTGATGCCATATAATTTGGGGGATATAGGGTGATAGGTTTCTTATGAAGGATGCTTGCGTTCAAAACAAAACAAAACGAAACTGCCAGAACAATGTGTGTGTGTGATCCTGCGAACATTTTTGAGAAAGGGTGATAAGAATTTTTAGAGATTCCATTCAGGAATGTCACGTGGTGCACAAGCATTTTCCTCCTGTGACACTTCAACAGGTCTTGTGAGCAAATGGTCAAAGCAGTTCCCATCCTATGACTGAAGTAGGATGCATGTACTAATACCCCCTAATTCCTTCTTGCAATAGGATTATTGCTTCTCCTTCTCCCTTTACCTTGCAGACCACAGCAGTTTCGATGAGCTGAGGTGATATTATTAGCATCTTCCTTTCCCAATCAGTTCCTGCAATCGACTTCAGTTTCCTGGAGTTTTTTTGTTTGATTGTTTGTTTTTTGTTTTTTTTTGGCATCTCACTTTTTTTTTTACTAAACATGCCAATTAAAAAAAATACATTTATTTATTTATTTATTTTTGGCTGCGTTGGGTCTTCGTTGCTGCACACAGGCTTTCTCTAGGTTGTGGTGAGTGGGGGCTACTCTTCGCTGGCGGTGCGCGGGTTTCTCATTGTGGTGGCTTCTCTTGTTGTGAGGGACAGGCTCTAGGCACACGGGCTTCAGCAGTTGTGGCACGTGGGCTCTAGAGCACAGGCTCAGTAGTTGTGGCGCAGGGGCTTAGTTTTTCCGCGGTATGTGGGATCTTCCCGGCCCAGGGATCGAACCCGTGTCCTCTGCATTGGCAGGTGGATTCTCAACCACTGTGCCACCAGGGAAGTCTCTCCATTTTGATTTTTAAATGCACTCTTTTCTTTAATGGTTAAAGCAGGTGTATAATGCATGTTTGAGCAGATGTACAATGCATGTTTGACAGGCCGTGAGACAGGCTGTTCTAGTTAGCATAAAGTTTACGTTAAATCATATATAAGCCAGAATGACTTCCCCATACCTCAATATGTGAACATTTCTTCCATCAAGTGTTTTTACAATGGAAGAGTTTTGGATTTTGTCAAATGCTTTTTCTGACTCTGTTGACATGATTAGGTGGTTTTTGATTTTTATTTTATTGCTTTGGTATATTTTCTTAATTAATTTTGGGTGTTAAACTAACATTGTATTCCTGGGGTAAATTGCACTTGGCCATGGTGTATAATTCCTTTAATATATTGCTTGATTCACTTTGCTAGTGTTGTGTTGAGGATTTTTACATACATATTTGTAAGAGATATTGGTCTGTAGTTTTCTTTTCTTGTATTTGTCTAATTTTGGTATCAGTGTACACTAGCTTCATAGAATGAGTTGGGAAGTGATCCCTCCTCTTTCATTTTTTGGAGAGGTTAGTGAACAATTGATGTTAATTAAAAAAAATATTTGGTAGAATTTACCATCTGAGCCTAGTCTTCTTTTTTTCTTTTTTTTTTGAGCCTAGTCTTTTTGTGTGTGTGTGGATAGTTTTTTGATTACTAATGCAATCTCTTTACTTGTTATAGGTTTATTTAGATTTTCAGTTTCTTCTGTAGTCAGCAACAGAGAGCTGGGAGCAGGACAAATAATGCTGATGTCCTGCCCTTCCCGGGAAAATAGTTCTCTGATTGGGAGCTGTGGGGAGAGGGTTCCTGGCTGTACTACTCTGGAGTGCAGTTTCCATCTTGCTGAGCTAGGAGTATGGAGAGGAGTGAGTTGTATTTTAAATACTACAGACTCTTACTGTTCTTACTGAGTTTTAGATTTTTAATGTTTCTTTATTTGTTGTATGCTCTTAGGACAATTTCCAGAGACTTGAAATGGTTGTTTTAAAAAATAATTTTCAGTTTCACTGGGAAGTGGGCCAGTGGACCTTCTCACATGTCACGCTGAAAAGTGGAATTCTCTGAAACCTTAAATTGCTTAGCATATGGTTATGGGAGAAATATCTGTATTATCAAAAGATTTCTTCAGAGTTCCATTAGATATCAAGGTGCTCCTGTGTCTGTAAGACTTATATTTAAGAGCAAGTATAAAAGTGATTATATATAAGCTTATTAGGAACACAACTGCTGTGTGTAAAGAGAAATTTTTTGTAGGTGTGTTTTATTTGTTCAAGCCAAAGGATTAAGCTTTTTTTTTTTCTCAGATAAACAGGGATACCCAGCAACCTTAAGTTGTTCAGACTTGCTATCAAATCCATCTTTGAAGCCAAAGTGGAAAAGAACTCCCCTTTGAAACCTTTTGCCTTGTAGCTTACACTGTCATTTAAAAATACATCAATTTTTAGAAAAGGAAATTAATGATGTACAAATTGCACAAATGAGCGTTTGTGGTTTCTTAATTTCTTGGGAATGGGCAGTGTGCCTTCCTCTGCTTCTGCCTTTGAAATTGGAGAGAGAGGCACTGGGAAACATACTACTGACCATCAGCCCAAATTGTTGGTTTTCCTATCGTTCACTAATTTTTCAAAGTTGTAAGATGTTGTTCAATAATTTATTGTCTACCATGGTAAATGTTAACACCTGGGTCATGGGGGAACCAGTATGCAGAATTTTGGCATAATGGAATTTATGCAGTTTTGCTATGTATTAGCTTATGTTTTTTCCTGGTATGAAAGAAAGTTGGTCTGAAATGAAGCAGCTGTGGTCTTGTGAGGAAGAAACATTTGTTGGACCTAGGTTTGAAATTAGCAACCCCTCCCCCAACCTTTTAAAAATTAAAACAAAGCGAAACCAAAAAAAAAATCCCTCTACTGACCCATGCTTTTCAGTGTTTTGGATATTAAATTGCAGGCAGTGACAGCCTAATAATAATACAAGGGTCTAGAGTAGGGAGAGGGTGTGCAGAAGCAAGTTTCTGTCATTAGCTGTGTGATTTAGGGGAGTCATTATAATCTACAGAATGAGAAGACCAGCTGATTGATGGGTACCTTCTAGCTGTTGAAGCTCTTGATTTTAAAAGTGAGTCTTTTTTTCAAACTTTGGAAAGGTAACTAACTGGTGACAGAGGTCACAGGAAAAAGGAAGAGAAGTAGAGCATTGCTATAAGAAAACATCCACTTAGACTATCAGGTATCTGTGCAACTAGTGCTTTTCAAATATTAAGGTGCATGTGAATCACTTGGGGATCTTGTTTGGGGTGGGGTTGAGATTCTGCATTTCTCACAAGCTCTTGGGTGATGCTGACCTGCTGGTCCAGGGACTACACTTTGGGTAGCAAGGAGCTAAACAATCTAGGAAAGGAGGGCTTTCAGAAGCTAATGAAGTGGTAGGTGACTAAGGAGAAAATGATAGAGCAGGAGAAACAGGAAGGAAATAAATGTTGCCAGTGGTATTTTGTTACTAGGAATAGATATTAAATTTTATGATAGAAGTCCATGAGAAATTAGTGCTTGATGTAGAACAGTTCCATTTACACACCATGTTGGAGAGTTAGTTTTTCATATTGGAGTGTTTTTCCCCCCATTATTCTAGCAAGCTGAAAAAATTTGTTCAGTAACAAAGGTTTTTAAGGCCATTTTCACATAATAGCTATTTTCATCTGATGCAGTCATGTGTGTTTATATTCAAACTACAGATACATGCACTTTTTCCCTTTCCTGATTATGCTTTTTATCCTTTTGAGTAATCATAGCTATGATGATGACTATATGATGACTATAGTGCTGTGAGTCCACCTAGTGAATCATTGAATGGTATTGAATTTGGGTAGTATTCTGCCCTGTGCTGCAAGAGAATGACGTATCTTCATTGCGGCAGTCCAATGGTATGGCGTATTTTAATTTTACAATGTATCTCGAGTACATAATGAGAATATATGGTATTTATTAAGTACTGTTACTTCCCTCTCAAATTAAAAAAGTCCAATAAAAGTATAATAGGAGTGTTTATTACATTTTTGAATACTTGCTGTGAGATTGGAAGTTTAGTCATCTGGCAATTTGTATGGTTACATAGTGCCATTATTAATAACAGCTGATGCAGATGTTTTTCAGAAATTCTCCCACATGTTAAAACTCATGATAAGTTTATTTACCTGCTATGTATTTTTCCTTCACTTTCATCAACACCTTGCCTTTACCTGACTACTTTCCTTTTCAGCATAGAGGGCCTTAGATGAAGTTTTCTTTCTTTTATCCCCCCGTTGTTTGTTTAAAGATGGAGTTTTCTTTCTTTTTTTCCCCCATTGTTTGTTTCTTTAAAGTTGTAACTTTTTTTTTTTTTTGGCTGTATGTGGGCCTCTCACTGTTGTGGCCTCTCCCGTTGCGGAGCACAGGCTCCGGACGCACAGGCTCCGCGGCCATGGCTCACGGGCCCAGCCACTCCGCGGCATGTGGGATCTTCCCGGACCAGGGCACGAACCCGCGTCCCCTGCATCGGCAGGCGGACTCTCAACCACTGCGCCACCAGGGAAGCCCCTGCTGCAGTCTTTGTAACAACCAAACTGAAGGGAATTTAGGTGTTATGCCTAGGAATTATGTGCTAACTAATTCTGGTAGAATTTGAATCTTGATCCTCCAAAGAATATGTTTGTTACTTTGTACAGTTGTCTACTAAATGTCCCAGAAGAGAGAATTGACCCAACATAAATGTATAATTTCTCAGCTTGACTTTCCGATGGCATTGCAAAATATCTGATTAATGTTTCCACTCACTTGGATTTGTGGTTTCACATATGTCCACAAAATACAAAAAATTAGAGTTTAATACAATGTTTATTCTCAAAGTTGTCTAACTTTAGTTTGCTATGTATGCCTTAAGAGTTAATTAATTTGGAACAACAACAACAAAAAAGAGTTAATTAATTCATAAATCATGGTGTGAAGTGGATTTATTTTTGTGAAGTGGATTTTTATTATAAATAAATGCTTTCTTTTTAGAGTGAACGAAAATGTCTTTATTTAAAGCCCGTGATTGGTGGTCTACTGTTCTGGGAGAAAAAGAAGAATTTGATCAAGGCTGTTTGTGTTTGGCTGATGTTGACAATACTGGAAATGGACAAGGTAAACAACTTATGACCAAGCATCTTGGAGCAAAGCATTTTATAGGGGTGGAATAAAAACGACTTCTTTTTTTTAATGTGTACTTCAAAGAACTTAGGTGAACTGTCATGACTATGCCCTAGTTTTTAAGGTAGTTTTCCTTATAAGTAATGTTTAAGTAGCAGGCTGATAAATGTAGTTATTACTTATGTTTTGTTGTTTGTGTTTTTCTGGTTTGTGTTGATTCTGTCATATTATTTGCTGGAACTCAGAAAAATATTATAAGGCATCATTTAATTTGTTTTTATTTGTTGCAAAATCAGGTTTCGTAGGGTAGAGCTGGTAAAATATTTTGAATTTTGAAATTTTTTCTTTTGTAGAAGCTGCAAGAAAAATTATATTCTTTTAAAAGAGAATCTGAAAGCCATTTACCAGAATGGAGAAATTATGTTAGCTCTATTTGTTTGTAGAAAACAATTGTTAAATCATTGCTTTCATTTTTATATTTTGAAACTAGAAACAATATTCTATTTTATTCTTATATTATTTGCTCCTCTTTGCATCTTCATATAAGTGGTCTTTAAAACATTTTAGTTCTGTATTATTGCTACTTGAAATTTATATTTGGTTTGAGTGATTTATAGTCATGAGCTTTTTTTCTTGTAATTCAGATAGTCACTGGCCTCTTAAAAAGAAAAGTTATTATAATAATTTTTCTTTTGTTCATTGTATATAAATATTGTCCCCTTACATTTTTCTTTATTCTATTTATCTTGCCTATAATGAGAACAGTAGAATTTGGGGGATAAAGTGAAAGGAGAAAATTATATTGGCAAAGAAGAGTGGGAGGCACTAAACTGTTCTGAGCACCTACTAAATTGTTTCTAAGGAAAATCTGGGCCCTGCCCTCCTACTGATAGGAGAGGCGAAGGTCTTCTATTCATAAGGTGTCCTGAGCTGTTCTTCAAAGATTATCAACCCTGCCTCCTGCCCAACTGTTTGTTAAAATTTATGATTCCCCTATAATTTGGTAGCACAGAAGAGTCATACCACAAAAATACCTGCCAGAGAGAAACAATTTCAAACCCACCTCTGCCCAAACTATTTAAAGCTCAACTTGGTTGGAAACTATACTTACTGATTATCTGAATAACATAGTGTTCACTCTTCATTTCTATTAGAGCTCCTCACTGGGGTGCCACCAGTGGGTTACCAATATGCTGAGATGTTTCATCCCCCCTATTTACATCCAGCTGTGAGCGGCTTCCTCTATTTTCCCAAGCATGCTATACAAAAATCATTCTCTGTGTGTGTGTGTTCCACATAGAAAAAAACCACTGATCATTATTTCTCAAATCCTGGACCACCTACATCATAATATTCTGGGGTGATTTTTATATATGAAGATTTTCTATCCCAGATGTACAAGACCTTCTAAGATCATATTCTCTGGGGGGGTAGATGGATTGGACGGGGGCCTAGGTATCTGCATTTTGACAAGCTCCAAAGTTGAATGGTGGCACACTAAAGTTTAAGAATTATTACTGTTGATCTTATGGAGTACAAGTTTAGTGAGAGCAGCTTCGGACATGCTCTATTTGAAACAGAAGTGTCTGGTAGGCAGAATCGAGGTAGAGATTTGGCAGTGAGCAGTACGCTGTTTGTATTTGAAGCCCTGGGAATAGGTGCAAATACACTGAGAGAGAAGATGGAACAAGAGGGAAGGAACCTTAGGACCATAACCTGGAGAATATGAGCATTAAGGGAGGAGCTTTGGGACAGGTAGTTAGTAATAGATTCTGAGAAGGGCAGGCAGAGAGGCAGAAGAACCAGTTGGGCTGATACCTGGGAGGCAAGATTTAGTGACGTGAAGACTGATTTTTAAATTTCCATATTGTTTTGCAGCAAGTGGTTTGTTAGTATACTTGGTGAGGGTGGATGAATGGACACAATTGTAACAAAATCTAGATTTGCAGAGAGTGAAGGAGTTAGAGGTGGGGAAAACTGAGTGTTTATGGCCCTTTAAAGGAACAGCTGTGAAGGGAAGATGGGAGAATGATGACTGGGGACAGTGTAGGGTAAAAAGAAATGGGAAAAATTCAGTGTGTAGCATAGAGGATATAATTGATAAAGCAGGGATCCAGAGAAGACAGTTGGAGGTGGGATCAAGTACGCAGATGGAAGGGTTAACTTTAAAGAGGTTTGAGAATTTTTTTCACTGTGATAGAAGGTAAGAAGGTAAGAATGGACATAGATGAAGAGAAGTTTGCAGGTCAGTTTGGGAAGTTGAGACAATAATGCCAGTTGATCCCTGCTTTCTCTGAAGTGATCAGAGAGTGAAAGGTTAGTATTAGGCATCTTGAAATTGCTTTAGGTGAAGCTGACTTGATTCATAGAAGAAGGATTCCTCGTTAATCTTGAGAGAATCTGAATGGTTCAGCTTAGATTACATGCTAACATATAACCTGGAGGGAGTGTTTATTACAAGAATCAGAGTTAAAAACACATTATATAAGGCAGACTAAAAAATAGTTCTTATACTTATCTTTTAGCTTCTCAGCATTTATACCTTACATGGGGCAACTGTCCCTTGTACAACTGCACATACACATATTCTTACCCATCTGCCACGGGAGATAAGTGCGTGCACCTACTGCTTCAGAGGCTCTTTCAGGGAGCTCTGGCTCTTCAAATCTAGGATCTCTGGGTGTTACACCTTTCGTTTGTCATTCGGTCATGATCATGTTCCAATATTCTGCTTCCTCTAGAATAATTGGTACATACAATCTGTGTTCACAACCTAATATATAATAGTTGAGGAAAAGAAGAAGAGAATGAAAAATTTAAAAGTTGAGATGAAGGAGCAGGAAAAATTGTATGGCAACTTGAAGAAGTCATGTTGGGAGCTACATCCTTTTGTTTTGCAACTGGTCACCTGGCTGTGGTCTAGGCCTCTTCATTCCTGGGGAATCTAGAACACTGATGCTTGCCTAAAGAGGATTATAGTAATTCCATTTACTACTGATCCAGACAGTACAGGAAGGGCCCATGGGGATCCCTGGGTTTCACTCATATTTCTTTCAGCCCCATTCAGCCTTTATGAGATGGTGAGGTAGTCCTGGTTCCTGCAGATTGGATTGTGGGCGTACATGTAAAGGTATACTCCTGCTCCTGTCAGGTGAAAGCAAATCATTTCTGTTGGTCTCTGTGCATTGGAAAGGAGAAAATGCATTACTAAGCTTTAGAACTGTACTCAAGCATATGGGATGTATTAGTTGGCTCCAAGAAAAAATAATTTGTGGAATAACAGAAGAATTTAGAGTTACCATTTAAGTTATACTGATCAACTCTATAAGACCCATTAATTAGACTTTGATATCAGCAAATCTGGTTATTAAACAGGGCTTTGTTAGGAATGATCACATATTACAAAGTTAAGTGTTTTGGAATTAAATTTTGGAAACCACCCCAAATCAGGCTTAGGAGTGGTATTGATTTTGATTTTCTCCCTGTTGGAGAGATGGAGTTCCACTGGCTTCCATATAGTCCTTTCAATATAATATCCCTCACTCTGCATGTTAGAGAACCAAGTAGATACTCTACCGTTTTCTACAGAAATACATTTCCTTTAAGCTCTCAGATGCTGGGTGAGAAATCATAGGTTGGCTTTGCTTTCCCACTGTGTGAACTAAGTTAGGAAGTTTATTTATCATGGGATCTCCATAATTGGCAACAACAGTATCTTCCTGGACTTCCAGAATTAGCAGTAATTTAGAGCCAATATTTAAGTGTTCTCGTAAAGGTTGGGTATATACCTTTCCTCAGTACACTTGGATAAATGACTACTGGTCCAATAGGGAAGAATCTGAGGAAACTTCATATTAGGCATGGGTGGTGTTACAGCAGTCTATACATAACCTTGTCTTTGTTCAAGTGACTCTGAGTCTATAAATTGACTTAAGTATGGGGATCAGTGCTATGCCATGACTGTCTAATATGGTGGCTTGAGTTAGTCCTCTTTTCCATAGACCTGGATTACTTTTGGTTTTAGACTTCAGAAAAGGCCTTAATTTGAGAAACACACTATAGTACATTGTTACAATTAAATACTACTCAATAATAAAAAGAAATGAATCACTGGGAAAAAGGGCCTTAATGCGTTGCCTGTTTGTTCCATTCCTGGGGATCCCATATTAATTAATTATAGCTTGTAATCTGTGATAGTTAGACTGTTACCTGAGATCTGGTTACTATAATAGTCCCGCTCTCTATTTTAATAATCATACATACACATTTTAATTCTAGGGGTTAAATTGTCACCACGTGGACTTGGCCATCCTGGTTTCCTCTTACCCCTGAGGATAGGGCTTTGTTGAAGTTGAGTCCCATTCTTTCTGATCAATGTCTTTACTTTTATGCAAGGAACCTGGAGAGACTGTGAACTCATTTGTCACTGCAATTTAAAACCTATAGAGTTAATCCCTGAACTAGATTCTTAGGGGTTAAGCGCCCTGCTAAAAGAGGTAAGAAGTTCTGCAGACTCCCAAAGACCCTGAGTTTTATTCTTTACCCTGAGATGAGAATTTTGAGATTTAAACCTATCATTCTCTTGCTCTAAATTATCCAGTGCCCTTAGAAAAAGCCATCTTATGTATGGTTTGGCATTCCTCCTTCCTGTTCATTTGGCAGCAGCTGTTCAGTTTACTAGAGTGTCACCTGCAATGGGCACAGTGTTCCAGATGCTTGGAGGTGTTAACTTGTTTAACTGTTCTGTCACTGTGTACAATGCTATTTAACCCCACCTAGAATATGAACAGGAGTTTTAATGCTTTGTGCCCCAACTTAGCTCAACAACCAATTTCCAAATATCCCTGCAGGAATTGGTGTCTGTAGTTTATTCACTGGTGCTAATCTGTATATCAATTAACATCTTATTTTATTTTTTTGCCACAAAGTGACAGGAAACAATTATGATAAATGCAAATAAAAGAGAGATTGGAATGAGAGTGACATAGCTCTCCTGAATGCAGGAAGGGTTCATTTGGCCAAGCCTTAGTCAGAGACAGGAACCAGTATGTTTCCAGAGACCTTGTAGACCTCTGAGGCTGCCATCAGATCACCTAGCACTAGATTCATTTCTTTTTTTTAATTGAAGTACAGTTGATTTACAATGTTGTGTTAATTTCTGCTGTACAGCAAAGTGATTCAGCTATATATATATGTATATATATGTGTGTATATATATGTGTGTATGTGTATATATATATATATATACACACACACATTCTTTTTCATATTCTTTTCTATTATGGTTTATCACAGGGTATTGAATACTGTTCCCTGTGCTATAGAGTAGGACCTTGTTGTTTATCCATTCTATATATAATAGTTTGCATCTGCTAGTCCTAAACTCCCAATTCATCCCTCCCCCATTCCTCCTCCCCCTTGGCAACCACAAGTCTGTTTGTTTTGTAAATAAGTTCATTTGTGTCATATTTTATATTCCACATATCAGTGATATCATATGGTATTTGTCTTCACTTAGTATGATAATCTCTAGGCCCATCCATGTTGCTGCAGATGGCATTAATCCATTCTTTTTTACGGCTAAGTAGTAGTCCATTGTATATATGTACCACATCTTCTTTATCCATTCATCTATTGATGAACATTTAGGTTGTTTCCATGTCTTGGCTATTTTGAATAGTAGCACCAGATTCTTAATGACATGTGTGTCTCTATTCAGGATTGAAATTCCTAGGATAGTACCTCTCTCATAGGGTTATTATGAGGATTTAATGAGTTAGTATATATAAGCTACTTAGACCATTGCCTGGCACCTAATAAACTCTCAATAAATGTGTAGAACTCCTTCTTTTAAGCTGATAGAAAAAATGTCAATGTATTCTACTAATCCAGGGATTTCAAACAACCCAAAGTATTAGTTTCCTAGGAGTGCCATAACAAAGTACCACAAATTGGCTGGCATAAAACAACAAATTTATTCTGTCACAGTTCTGGAGACTAGAAGTCCAAATCAAGGTGTTGGCAGGACTATGCTACCTCTGAAGCCTGTAGGATCCTTTTTTGCCTCTTTCAGTTTCTGATAGTGCCAGGCATTCTTTGGCTTGTAGATGTATCACTCCAATCTCTGCCTCCGTTGTCACATGATCATCTTCTCCTTGCTTGTCTCTATGTCTTCACGTGGCATTCTCCTCTCCCCACCCCTGTCTCTGTTTTCTCTTCTTATAAGGATACTAATTGAGTCCTATCACTTACCTAATTGAGTGTGACCTCATCGTAACTTGATTACATCTGCAAAGAACCTGTTTCCAAATAAAGTCACAGGTACTGGGGGTTAGGACTTCAACATATATCTTTTTGGGGGACACAATTCAACCCATAATACCTATCCTACCATTTCCTCCTTTTGTACCCAAGACTAGAAATTGTAAATCAGAGTACTCTCTCTAATGAAGCCTCAGTGTTTTTACACTGAGTTAATACGGTGTTTTCAACAGCCAAAACCAGGTGTAGAGTTGACGCTCTATGGCGAAATCAGCTTACAACCTGATACTGGTCCTTTGTTAAAAGGGCTTGCTTTGACTGTGTTAAATTATGGCTACGACCCCAAATCAAGGCTTAAGAAAAATGTAATATGTTAGTACATTTGAATATTGGTGATGTAAAGCTATTTTTGAAAAGCTATGTGTTATTAAGATAAGTTCACTTTAATTACATATTCTATTGGCAGATTGGTTTTTGTATATGAAGCAAAACTGGATTCTTTTAATTTTTAGATTTCTCTTTTAGACACTGGAAATTTTATTTCTAAAAAATTTTTGTTGCTAATGTTTGTTTCTTTCTATATCTTAAAAAAAATCTCTTTACAGATAAAGTAATTGTGGGTAGCTTTATGGGATACCTAAGGATCTTTAATCCTCATCCTGTAAAAACAGGAGATGGAGCTCAAGCTGAAGATTTGCTTCTAGAAGTGCATCTACGATATCCAATACTGCAAGTGGAAGTAGGAAAGTTTGTTTCGTAAGTATAGCCCACCAATTCTGGTGTTTTATCTTAATACTTGGAGTATGTCAATCCCTTACTATGTCACTTTTGTGGATGCTTCAAAAAAAGAAAAAGGCTATCTATGAATTAAATATATTTCCTGTGTATTGTCACCTAGGTGGTCCTCATGTACTGAACATTTTAAAATTTGGAAACCTGTACATTTAAGATAGAATAATTTAGGACTTTTTTATAGTAACAGACCTAAGATGCCCGATGTGTTAGAAGCTTAAAGGAAAAGAGATAAGCTTTTGAAAAATAACCAGACAAAGAAATAGAAAGTATTCACCACCTAAAGCACTAATTGTCCAGTTTTTTTTTTTTTTTTTTGCGGTATGTGGGCCTCTCACTGTTGTGGCCTCTCCCGTTGCGGAGCACAGGCTCCAGACGCGCAGGCTCAGCGGCCATGGCTCACGGGCCCAGCCGCTCCGTGGCATGTGGGATCTTCCCGGACCGCGGCACGAACCCGTGTCCCCTGCGTCGGCAGGCGGACCCTCAACCACTGCGCCACCAGGGAAGCCCCCAATTGTCCAGTTTTAAACAAACTGTTTGTTTAAAAAAATTAGACATCATAGCAGTTATGTGATTTGGTGCATAACTTTGAAGCTTTGAAACACATTACTTATTTGGGGTAGAGAGGTCCTTAGTTTCTTAAAGGAAGACAGCTCACCCCACAAAGTAAGTCTTTGGTTCAAAGTACGTTATTTTTAAACCTAATTTATTTTAGAACACGGTTTATTATTTTGCATTTTGTGTAATACGTCTGCTTTTTATTTACTGATGATATTGCTGATTTTATCTTATTTTCATACATGAATTTTCTTAAAATTAAGGCTGTATTTCTTAATCATTTATCTATTGTGAAGTGTTATGTAGACAGAGGTGGCCTTGTTTTCCCGTACCTTCTCTTTTCGAGCACCCTTTTGCTGTCTTAAGTCTGGGAGTGCCCTGAGCTCTGGATTTTGGCTCACTCCAGTTGCACATCGTGATTTATTGGCCCCAGGTTCCACTTGTTCAGGGCCCTGACTCCTACTAGAAAAACCTGAAAGACTGCTCCTGAGCATTAACCCTCTTCTGGTAACATGATTCATTCTGATGGGAAGCTGCTTCGTGGATGCTATAGGCCAGGACATGAGATGGGACTTTTATGCCCTGTGACAGGCTGGATCAGGATTTTATGATTGACATGGCTGGTAAATATCTACTCCATCTAAAAGCTGATGATGATTAGGTGCCCACTGTGTGCCTAGCACATATTAAACATGATGGATTTATAAAGTAAGGAGGCAAAAGAATTCTTGCCTCTAAAAAGCATTTTTACCTTTTCATTTTTTAAAAAAGTGGAATGCTGTCACAGTCATTCTACACAGGCTTTCACCTATGTGATCACTTGTTGGAAGGGAGGAGGTGAACATTAATGATACCGTACTAGTATTAATTGACTAGTACTATCTCATTAATCTTATCTGTAAGATGTGATCTGCATTTAGAGATAAGGAAACTGGCTAGAGCTCAGAGCTTTAGGTTACACAGCCAGCATTCAGGCCCAGGTCTGTCTGACTCCATTCTTTACTGTCTTTCCATGACATCATATCCTTTTCCTGTGCATGATGGAAAAATTGTTTTGAGTGTTACAGGGTACATACAAAAATCTTTGAAGGCGGTCTTGATTATGTGATCGTTGTGTATATTTTCATTTTCTGGTAGTAGAGTGAGTTGGTGAGTATTTATATATTCACTGTAACAATGTTTTGCAGGTATTATCTAATATAATTCTTGTTTTATAAATGAGAAACTCACACTCTGCAAGATTAAATGATCACAGAAATATCAAAGTGCCGAGTCAAGACCCCAATCCAGGTCTTCAGACTTCAATTATAGTTCTTTCAGTTTAGAACAGAGTCTGCATCAGAGGTCGAACATCAGAGGCCTGCTTGCAGATTAGTTTTAAATGTGAAAGAATTGCCAACATTTAGGAACGAGAAATTTTCACATAAAATCCCTGCATTCTGGCTTTTCTTGAAAAAGAATGTGGAGATCTGGCCACAAGCCCAGAGCTGAGTAGTCGTTGCCTCCTTTAGTCTGGCCCTAGTCTCCAATTGATCACAGCCATTTACACCCTTTATTCACTTATATCTTCTGACTTGACCCTTGAAGACTTTGAATTTGGGATTTCTAGATTGTGCCTTGTCTCTGGAAACCACTTGATAGGGGCTGGGAAGTGTAGTGGTGACAGTGGCCGTTTATTTCTATTTGAGATTTAGACCAAACTGAAATATTTTCAATACCTTTAGTATAATTACAGACCTCCATGTGATATATGCCTTTTGCCAATGATGATTAGCATTCTGTAGTGCTTTATACTTTACAAGGTGCTTTCACATGATTTTTATTTCATTTAATTTAAACCTCTTATTTTCCAAAAGGGGAAATAGGCTTAGAGAGTGTAAGTGACTTGCTCAAGCCAGGACCAGAGTGTGGGTCTCCCCCTCCACACACACCCTGTGGCTTGTGGGATCTTAGTTCCCTAACCAGGGATCGTACCCGCACCCACTGCAATGGAAACACAAAGTGTTAACCACTGAACTGCCAGGGAAGTCCCACGTGGATCTCCTTATTGTGGGAGAGCACTCCTGAAGGTGCCTCCGATGTGACTTTTGCTGGGAGACTCCCTTGGTTTCAGTGTGAAGACAGCTCCTTGAGGCAGAGTCCTTGGGCCTCTGATATTGCCAAACTGGTTGCTTGTTTTTCAATTTATTTTTCAGCTTTGAATGTTATCTAGTGAATTATTTAGTTCACTCATGATAGGTTATGGTTAAAATCTCGTTTTAAAATCATTTTGTCATTTTTTTAGTTACATCTGAAACTAGTATTTAAACTTTTAAAACTTTCCCTGTTTTTCAGAGGTACTGAAATGCTTCATTTGGCTGTGTTGCATTCTAGAAAACTGTGTGTCTACTCTGTCTCAGGTAAGAAACATTTTTTCCTAATGTAGAATTTGTACTAAAATCTGGACTTCTTAGTATTATGTAAGAATAGTTAATATTGACTCAGTTGAAGGTTTTCTTATCTTGGTTAGCATTTTCCCATTGTTCATTTATTCTTTCAGGTACAAAGGCTATTAAATTTTCTTGGTCTGCTATTTCCATGAATACTTAAATTTCTATCACTGTAGAGGGTTCCTTGGAATCTCCTTCCTCTGAGGAATTGTGTGCAGGATTGCCTATGACTAATAGAGTCCAATTCTGGGTACTTAGGACACTTGAGTCTTAAGAAACGTTCAACAGCAACAGCAAAATTCATTACATGCTGAGTCATGGTGGTTTAAAGTACATTTTCTTTGGTGAACCTCAAGTATTTCTCTTTACAGTTCCAATTTCTTGGCTTTTGGCTGTCTTTACTCAACCAGACCTTAAGGCATTTATCTGAGACTTAATTAGGTTTCATTCCCTGACATGGTACTGTGGGTACAAGTATGAAAGTTAATTGCGTTTTGGTTTCAGCATTTTGGCCCTTATTAAATATGAAAAGGTAACTTACAAATTTTGTTTCAGTTATTAGATAAATTTTAGTCCAAGTTGACAGTTATTTTTATGATGTGCAATATGGGGGAATCTTTTAACGGATACAATAAAGCTGAGTGTCTGTGGACCTATTGCTTATACAAAAGATACTCTCCTTCGGAATTTGCTGTAAATATTAGCTTCTAGGATTTGGATTTCTCACACTCATTTTCTTGATTTGGGCTTTCTTTGTATTTTGCTTTCAATTTGAGTCATGATTCATATTTACTGTCACTGAGCTGGATATATATATTTTTAAATAAATTTATTTATTTTATTTTTGGCTGCTTTGGGTCTTTGTTGCTGTGTGCGGGCTTTCTCTAGTTGTGGTGAGCGGGGTCTGCTCTTTGTTGCGGTGCATGGATTCCCATTGTGGTGGTTTCTCTTGTTGCAGAGCACAGGCTCTATGCAGGGGCTTCAGTAGTTGTGGTGCACGTGGGCTCAGTAGTTGTGGCTCGCGGGCTCTAGCGCGCAGGCTCAGTAGTTGTGGCGCAAGGGCTTAGTTGCTTCTCAGCATGTGGGATCCTCCCTGACCAGGGCTCGAACCCGTGTCCCCTGCATTGGCAGGCGGATTCCTAACCACTGCACCACCAGGGAAGTTCCAGAGCTGGATATTCTTAGGCCATCTCTTTTTGGGGCAAAGATCTATTAGATTTTGAAGGCAGCCTTGATATATGGTGTGTGGTAGGCATACTTGTTGAATGAATGAATGAACTTATTTCTGGGTAATGCTGAGGCAATTGGTAGTGGCTATTTATTACTCTTTGTATGTTATTTTCTTCTTTCTTCTTTTCCTTCTCTGTTACCACTATCATTTTCTTTTCCATTTCCATTCTATTTATATCAGAGGCCTGGTAAAGTACCTCTTTCTGTCATTGCTAAATACTCTTATTGGTTTCATGGTAAAAAGATGTTGTTCCTCCTAGTGGTAGGGCAGATATTTAGTGTTCCAGAGTGAATGGAGAAGGTATGATATAGGCTACTTTATTGCAGTCATCTAGTTGTTCCTCTGTTTTCCATCATAAGCCTGTTAACTTGGAGTGATATTTTATTAACAGGTATGGAGGAGGTGAACTTGCCCACAGTAACTCTTGAATACTGCTTGGGGTACTGGTCCCTTCTAGAGGCTCCATGGGGGCTCTAAGAGGGCAGGAGAGGGACACATCCTAAAATCTAGGAATTAGGTTAGACTCTTGGCCTTCCCTGGTCCCATTTGAATGATGGCTCAGAAAGCCAGAAGTCTCTAGAGTTCCACTGGGGTGTAGGGCATAGGCTAGGGATGAAATGTGTGTTTATCAAAAAAGGCTAGTGAAAGAAACTGGCATGTTTGGTCACAACTTGTTTATGGGACATTGGTATCGTCCTTCAACTTAGTGTTGAAAATGAAAGTTATTTGTCACGGGAATGGCAATTTTATTGCTCTTTTATTCTTTCTATTCATTTACAAGCTTTGTGTTCTCTGGGGATGAGGAGTTGTCCAAACTACATTCCCTTACACTCCACCTCATTTTCCTTCTCTCTCTCTCATTTCTTCAGCTTCCTATGATATTCGTAGCCTGACAATTTGTATATTTTTCCTGGCTTGGCTTAAATTGAGAAGCAGAGAAGTTAATGTTTTGTTCTCTTGAATATGTTTCTTGAGGTACCAGACTGAATTTTACCTAGCTTTTACTATAACAGGGGAAGCATAAACACTTTCTAGTTTAAGTGAAACCACTGGTGTCAGCAGATGAAAAGTGTTAGCTGAACTTGACATCCTTAACCCTGACTGCCCCCTCCCCAAATGTTTTTTGTTTTCTTTTATGCGCTAATGTGCTCCTAAAAAATATTTGAGGCAAATTAGAGGAGACCTCCTGGATATAGCAAACAACTCTTAATAATCAGAGGCTAGTGTGCTGACTTTTTTTGGGGGGTGGTGGTGATATGTCATTAAATGCAGGCTTAATATAGAGAAACAGCAGGGTCTTGCTGACCTGAACTTAGCCCATCTTATCATACTCTGGTAAAGGAAAAGCATCACATGGCATCTCAGATTCCTTCCTGATGGGCCTCAGTTTCTGAGTAAATGGTTACAGATGTGTGAGCTTAAGCCATACTGATTATGTTCTTTTAAATATTCTTTTCCAAAAATTTTGTACTTATTAAGCATTTGACATATTTATAGAATTTTAATATTTGCTGTGAGAGGGCAAAAAGATGTCTCTTTACTTTTGACAGGGTTATATAATCTAATTTGGTTATTTAATACAATGAACCTTTTAACTTACTCTGTAATGGCTTTTATTTCATTTAACATCATTAGATTTCTCAGCAGTTATGTAAAATTACACCAAAACCTGTTTTCAAGGTGACCTTTGATTGTCCAGAGAATTATTTTGTTTAAATTAGATCTTGTTTAAATAAGACCATCAGCATAAATGTTCTAATATCCATTTACTTTCTAATTGATGAAACTTTATATTAACTTTAGCTATATATAGACTATTATTATAGATATACATTTACTGTATTCAGTCTGTATATTCAAGGACAAAACCTGTGTAAGTAATTTTAATCTTATGTCATCAATGCTTCTCTAGAAAACAAGTGATCAGAATTTTTAGATTTTCAGGTACCACCTTTATTCCAAGTTAGTATTAAAGGAAGATAAATTGTCTTTTGTTCTCCATAGGTGCACTATTACATTTTAAAGTGCTATCACCTGAAATTTAAAAACTTAACAATGCATTTGCAGCCTTTTCAAGACATAAATCCTAATGTCATTTCATGCAAGTTTGTTGAAATATTGACTGCTGACCCTTGTGTTCACTGACCTTTTGGCTAGCAGGCATGCGTAAGTGCATTCCTTACTCATAGGGGTCCATCTGGTTTTAGGTGCAGAATGAAATTTGGAATTTCAGTAGGGACAAACCAAAAGTTTCTTGGATCTTTTTTTTTTTTTTTCTGGTTTCTTAGAGGCTAGAACTGTCCTTAGGTCAATGCTGTGAGTTATGTTTTTAGAGTTTTTGTTTTTTGCTTTTGCCCGTGTGGCTGGTATGGTTGTGATTACCACCAGTTTCTCTGGACCTTACTGATTTTACTACCATTTAGGTTCCAGAAAGCTTTCATCTCCTATCAGGGTTAGCTGGCAAATTTGAGTCTTTCTCTTTGTTTTTTAACTCTATTGGTATGTTAGCATTTTGGTTGTTAGCATTTTCAGGGGCACAGATCTGAGTAGAAGTGGTTGTCCTCCAAGAAATCCTTGCCTGTTAGTTTTTCTCTTTCAACGCTCCACCTTCCAAATGAGGAAGAGAAAGCCAGGGAGAGAAAGGTGGAGGTGAAAATAACATATATATATTTTACCGAAGTATAGTTTATTTACAATGTTGTGTTAATTTCTGCTGTACAGAAAAGTGATTCAGTTATCCATATTTATATATATACACACACACATTCTTTTTATATTCTTTTCCATTATGGTTTATCACAGGATATTGAATATAGTTCCCTGTGCTATACAGTAGGACCTTGTTGTTTATCCATTCTATATATAATAGTTTGCATCTGCTAACCCCAAACTCCCAATTCATCCCTCCCCAGGAAATAACATATTTTTGATGCTGCTTTTTTTTTTTTAATTTTGGAAATTGTCATTGGCTTACTAGGTTCCCTGAAAGTTGGTAAATGATGTCATCCCTCCCCAGGAAATAACATATTTTTGATGCTGCTTTTTTTTTTTTAATTTTGGAAATTGTCATTGGCTTACTAGGTTCCCTGAAAGTTGGTAAATGATGGACAACCAGGTACCAGGATATATAGTGATGGCTCTGAAGACCTAGTTTGAGTACTGTGTCCTTTATCAGCTATGTGATTTGCGGGGAAATTTATTGAATTTTGTTTTAAACTTAAGGTGCCTCAGTTGTAAAGTGGAAGTAGAAATACTTCTGTTCTTACAACCTCCATGTACATTGGTGAATCCTTCTGGACAAAAAACAAACAAATAAATGCACATGTATAAATATGTATATACATACATGCATACAAACATATATTTAGATTTAAAAAAATAAATTTATTTATTTATTATTATTATTATTTTATTTTTGGCTGTTTTGGGTCTTTGTAACTGTGTGCAGGCTTTCTTCAGTAGTTGTGGCACATGGGCTCAGTAGTTGTGGCTTGTGGGCTCTAGAGCACAGGCTCAGTAGTTGTGGCACACGGGCTTTGTTGCTCCGCGGCATGTGGGATCTTGCCAGGCCAGGGCTCGAACCTGTGTCCCTTGCATTGGCAGGCAGATTCTTAACCACTGTGCCACCAGGGAAGCCCCTATATTTAGATTGTTTTAATCATCTAATATTATCCAGTTTGGGACTATTTCATTTGCTTTGTGATATTTTAAGTTTTTCTTTTAACTTTTGCATGACAAAGATGCTTCTTAATGGAAAATGTTACATTTGGAATCATTTTTCTTTCTAACACCTCTTTTAATCATAATGTTCTTGCCTGATCACTAGGATATAGCTCTAACTGTATATACTCCAGAAAGCCTAACAACTAGAGAGTAAAATGCGGATAAAGAATCTTTTCTCATTTGGAATGAACTACAAAGTGATTGTAGCACATATGATCTATTAAATGCAGGGAAAGTATTTTTCTTTGTTTTGAAGGAGATTCTTCTTGGCAGACTTCAAAGAAAACATATTGTCCTATTTACTTGCTGAGAGAAGCTTTAGATCTCTCTATTAAATTAGAACATAATGTATTAGGGGCTTGAATATTTTGAGAGTTGGGACAGAAAATTGAATTGCTTGAAAGTGTGGGGAATTTTTTTCTTAGACACTTTGATTCATGTCTTTGGTCTATCATTGTTATAAATGCAGGGAACTTAACCTCATTTATTTCAGAACTGAAGTTGGAGGATTTTGTTGTTATTTAAATAATTACACTTTACTCAGACATAATGGACATAGATAACAATGTCACCCAGGGTAGTATTTCATCTATTGGTATAATCTAGCTGAGACTTAAATTGTTTTAACTGTGCTGGCATTCTGTGTCATCAGTATGCTAATTGTTCATAATACATATGTTTTAGTGCTTTGCCATTTTAAATTTCACTGAAATTGAATTACTTGGAATTGGTAAGAGGATGAGAAGATATTAATATTTTTTTAATGTAAACAAATACAAAGCAGTCTTTTTATTTTTTTCTTTTTAGGAAGCTTGGGTAATGTGGAACATGGGACCCAATATCAGATCAAATTGATGTATGAACATAATCTTCAGAGAACAGCCTGCAATATGACTTATGGATCATTTGGTGGTGTAAAAGGTAATTTGCATTTAATCATGAGTGTGTATTATAAGGACCAGAATATTTGGCCATATAAAAATGGAGAATTATGTGGTATGAATCTTAGAGAGAGTTAAACATATTTTATTGAAACCTTTATATTCAAATACTTGGGCAAAGTAATAAAAAAAGAAAACTTTAAACATTGAATGAGTTTGATTTTCATATAACCAGCACTTTTATGTGGTCTACAGAGACATTTCTAAAACTGTCTTTTCTTTACATTTTGTCTTTTATACATGAGCTGACTGAAATTGAGCTTTTCTGTGGTGGAACTGTGTGCCTGCCTCTCTCAGTGGAAGAAGGGGTTGATCTCTTCATTGATGGGGGTCCGGGCTCTACTTAGGCAGGGTGAAGCTGTAGACCCCTGTCTCCACCTAATCCACCTCCAGGGCCACTGTACAGGGTTGTGTGGATTGTTTCTAAACCAGGGCGCCTGGACCAGGGGCATGTGGAGATTGAAGTGCAGACCTGATCCTGCTCATCAAGCCATGTGCTCTGGCCTGGAATAAACATCCCCAGAGGAAGGGTGCCTTTCCTAAATTTCACAAAGGCATTACCTTTACGAAGTACTGGCCCAGTGAGGCTGGGTTTCTCCCACCCTGGTGGTATCTCTTCCTAATTAGCACAAGGTCTACCACCCTAGTTCCAGAGCTTCTGAGTTAACCAGGGCTTGGTAACTCAGGCTTGCTTGTGTTTACTGTTGCTTGTGGTGTGAGAGAATAATTTACAATCCAAATCCTCTCACTTCACTGTGACAGGACAATAGAGGAGCTGCTGGTGTTGAAATGATAGGAAGCCAGGTGTCGACACCTGTGTGGTTGTGTGTGTGTGTGTGTGTGTGTGTGTGTGTGTGGCACTTGAACATGTAACTAGGGATTTTATAATATAGCTCTCTTTGGGCTCAAGTTTTTACGAGTTTATTGTTTAACTGTTGTGTTAATAAAAAGTAGGCTACCTATGTTAGATTTTGCTTTAGTGACACAAAAAATGTCTTTATTTTGGAAGCATCCTTCATTCATGTGAACTCACTCTTGTATATAGAGGTAAAGGCAAGAATATTTTGGGTGGTAATGTACAAATAAAAGTTTTGTGTAATTAAAGTGATATGAGACAAAACACTTGGCTGGATTGCAGTATTGCTTACCTTGAGTAACAGGAATGTTTGGATTATTTGAAGAATATGGGAGATGTCTAGAGTTAGATGAAGAGAGGAGAGAAAAAGCTAAAATTTGATGAGAGGCTAACTTCTGTGAGATGTCCCCTCCCAACTTCAGCTGTTAGAACTGATTTCTACTGTTCTTTAAAAAAATGTCTGATATGATCGGGGGACCTAGGTCTCCCCTGTTTAATTAACTATTTTCAATGTTCTTTCCCCTACTAAATCCCCAAAAGAAAAATGGCTAAATTCTATACATCTGGAGTAAAAAAAGTTATTATATGAGGAAAAAGTGCTTTGGCTAAATGAAAGTAAGTTTTTATTTTTTGGTACCATCAAGACATTTATTTATTTTTAAATTTATTTTTTATTTAATTTATTTTTGGCTGTGTTGGGTCTTTGTTGCTGTGCGCAGGCTTTCTCTTGTTGCAGCGAGCGGGGGCCACTCTGCTGCGGTACGCAGGCTTTTCAACGGGCTCTAGGCATGCGGGCTTCAGCAGTTGTGGCTCGCAGGCTCAAGTAGCTGTGGCGCACGAGCTTAGTTGCTCTGAGGCATGTGGGATCTTCCTGGACCAGGGCTCGAACCTCTGTCCCCTGCGTTAGCAGGCAGATTCCCAACCACTGTGCCACCAGGGAAGCCCTATTTTTAACAAGACAATTCGTTAGATCACATGTCAAGTGTTATCTTACACTGATTGCACTGTACTTTTAGTTTTATTACTAGATCAAGTTAACTCAATTAAAATAAAGTTTTAAATAAATTAAATAAAAAAGAAATTCCTTGCTTTTGTGTTACATTTTTGCTATATTCAGTAATGGACTTTCAAAGTAATTAGAGTTGCTACTAGTTTTGAGAAGAATAGGTAACTTTGTACTTATATATCTTCTCTTAGTTCTTAAATTATGCCTTACATTTAAAAAGTACCTTTTGAAAAAACAAGAGGCGATTATAATGTATCTTACTTTCCTATGGTTAATCAGGATATTTCCCAATTTGAAACAGAGAGATATATGAGTAGCAGAAGCAATTATTCTGTTTCATGGGTTTGAAACACTTGTATAATATCACTGAGGTATCTAAAAGGAAACATGAAAAAGTAATGGGGTGGTAAGGTAGTAAAAATTAGCCTTTTGGGGGGATTGGCACGGGGAATGGGGAGTTACTGCTAATGGTTACAAGGTTTCTTTTTGGGATGATGAAAATGAACTCAAATTAGATTATGGTGATGGTTGCACAGCTCTATAAATACACTGAAAACTACTGAGTTGTATACTTTTAAGGGGTGGTGAGTAAATTATATCTTAATTGTAAAACTGTTAAAAAATTATCCATGGGATAAAACTTGCTGCTAGAGAGGTGATACTGCAGTCTGTACATCCTACATGGCTTGTGGCCATGTAAAATTTTACAGTACTCTTATAAAGCAGGTTGACTGTTAAGAACTGTGAAAATGTTCTTGAATGCTGATATGTGGTTTATGGGAATGTATATTAGGAAGTGATCCAAAATGTGAAAAAGTCATATCAAATTGCCATATATTTAATTATTTCCTTCCTCTTTGTCCTCCCTTCCTTCCTTTTGTATATACATATATTTATTTGTAATATAGAAAAATTAGAAGTGATCTAAATGAGTAACAGAGGAGAATGATTAAGTAAGTTTTGATGCATAGATTCAGTGGGTTATTATGAAGCTGTTGAGATTGTTTAGTTTGCTGAAATGAACGTCTTTGAATATAAATCTTTGCCCATGTTTCTTGTATTTTCCTAGGATAGAATGTAGAAGTGGAGTTATTGAGTCAGAAGGTTACTAAATACTTTTTTCTCAAAAAAGCACCCCTGCAAACTATATAAATATATTGTAAAAAGTACAGAACTTAGGAAGAAGAAAGTAGAAGTCACCCCAAGAAATGCACATTTCAAAAGAAAACCTATTTTCTAAGCCTGATGCTGCTGCTGTGTGTCTGATGTGCACCTTTACAGGAGAGAGAGCGGGTCAATCTTTTAATCTGAAAACTTCCCTAGCCTTGATCACTTGATCTGAGTTTTTTTTTTTTTTAAATCTGAGTTTAAAAAAGGAAATTGAAAAATTTTTGTCTTCTACCTTCCTCTGTATTTAAGATGTCTTCTTGTGGAATTATTAAGTTGGGTAATTGTGTCAGTAGTCCTCAAGAAAGGAATTAAGCAAAAAGAAAACCTAGCAGCATTTTAAACAAATGTGTTTAAAGTACTGATAGGCAGAGGGAGTTTATTTGGTATGTGTATCAGAATGAACTACCACTAGATGGCAGTCCTCTACAACCTTGGGCTTTAGTTGGGTCTCCCTTTGAATAGAGGTATGGTAAAAAATCACTAATGGAGGAATTTTTATCCCAAATAATACTTTGCCTTTCACTAAAAATAAATGTAACTTCAGAAGAGCAATGGAGTGGTTCTTAAAAAAATTAATTACTATAGGTAATATCTCAGAACATAATGTAAAAATGCTTTCTAGCTGTTCTTTTCAAATTTTAATTTGCATCCAAATCATAAAGGGATCATGATAAAATTGTAGGTTCTGGCTCTGTAAGTCTGGAATTGGACCTGAGAGTTTGAATTTCTGAGAGTCTCCCAACCGATGCCAAGTTGCAGAGATCTAGAGCTTTGCTGCCACCCTGCATCTACTGAGTGCTTATTCTGTACCAGGCACTGTCCTAAGGGCTTTTATAGGTTGAGTAACTTAAGATATACTTAGTAAATGGTAGAGGAGGGATTCCAACCCAGGCTCTCTGCTTCTAGAATCTTATGGCGTTAACCGTACTATACTGGGCTATCTAGGCTATGAGTAAATTTGCTTTCTCCCTGATTCAGGAAAAAAACTTTCCAATCAGAAAGATGTGTACTTGGTTTGGCTAAAGATGGTGCATAACTTTGGTTCTGCACAGATTATGGAAAACATGTTGGGTAATTTCTGGGTCAGATATTTGCTTTCTCAATTTCATTTCTTTGGTTGGTACTTTGGTTTATAAGAAAAGTACCCCCTAAAATAATCAGAGAGTTTATATGTGTGTGGAGGTAATATATTATTTGAAATTAGCAAAAGAGTAATTACTGTTTTTTTCTAACCTTTTTTTGTTTGCCTGCTTGTTAAGAAAACCTTTCAAAAATACCCTTTATACATTTGCAAAAACTCAAAGGTGCATTCATTTGATGCCGTAAGTTTTGGTTTTACCTCAAGCTATGTTGCAATGTCTATTAATGAGAAAGAAGTGCTAAAGAAATAGGAAATCTAGTTTTATGAACTACTTGAAGAATATTTGCCTAGTAGCTTCCATTATTCAAACTACTACCTGCCATTCCAGAATTTAAGTAAAAATTCTTTCCATATTATACTTTTTTGAGGGAAATGATTGAAATGTGCGATATTAGTGGCTATATTGGGCTTTTTTTTTACAGAGGGGTGTGGAAGATGTGTTTGAAATTTAAAATGTTTATAGTTTCTTTGATTTTATTCTAAGCTGCTTTTTTGAAGGAACATGTGACTGGGTTTTTGTAAATATGGTAGTTTATCTATGCTTTTTATACTATTGACAAATTAATGCTTGCAAAATTTAGTGAGTGACATAAGTATGGACAATCAAATTATAGTTTGGAAATATATGAAATCAATTTTGAAAAGGTGGATTTGAATTGATTTAAAAATATGTTACTAAAATTGGTGTTATTTATTTTGTTTGGTAATTTGAATTCTACTTGTTTTTGAAAAAAGGAACAAGTGATATGTCTGCCAGATTTTCCTCTGCTTTTGTTTCATTGTGTCACTACAACTTCCAATGGTTTT